TGTGGGAGAGAGGCAAATTTGAACTTGATCATGTATCATTGACAAGTTTGAGGAAAACTTAGATGTTACACTTGATTATTTATATTGGCTGAATATTAATCGTAGATCTGATTAAATAATTATTCACTAAATAAGAATGTATATGTAATTATGTGTAGATTTACAGTTGAAATCCACCAAAGTGTAAGTAACTAGATGTTGCATCTAATTACTCCAAGTCTGAGCAAGTGAGCAACTTTATTTTTATTAGGGTTTCATGCATACTTAAACCAAGTTTATATATGCTATTTCGAGTGAAATACATCAGATATATTTTTACAATATATCATCACTCAAATATATACACACCCATATTAGTGTGTATTGATCAATAGTAAAAATTCATTCAGTATTATTGCTTTCATCCGATGTAGCATAGAAACGACCCTTAAACATATATTGCAAGAACCTTAAAATTAAGGAAACATACACTAATTAATTAATACAAAAAATTATGCACCATATCTCTACATCCTAATGAAAATGGCCCATGTCCCCATTATGGCAAGAATGTTAGTATAATTAAAACAAGTGGAACTCCAATTGATTAATTAAAATACAAATAAATATATGACTTATAATCTTGATTGAATATAATAATGGATTTTATGGGGTCCAATTTTCTTTGGAAAACGAGAAAAATTTAATCTATACATCATGGAAAAGGGAATGGAGATTGAATTCCTATTTAGGTAAAATTGAATGCTTCAAGATATTATAATTCAATTCCTTTAGATCTCAACTACCCACAAAAAACATATATTTTAAGAAAATAAATGTAGTAAATAATAATTGAAAAATAAGTTAGTTCCCTACATTCCCCCCAATCATGACTCACAGTTAGGTCTCAAAATAAATAAATTAATCAATTAATTAAAAAGTTATTCCTCGTGGATTTTTTGTGTATTTAAATGACTTATTGCATGTCAAGTTGTAGTTCGTTTGCGGCTAGTGCTCCTTTATTTAGGACAACTTTTTGGACTTCTTTATACTTCATTTTCCTAGATTTAATATAAATACAGTTGGACTTCAATAAATTAATACTCGTTAATTTATTCAGGTCTCAATTCAGTATTAACATGCTAAATTATTATTTTGATAATTTAATATTTCGATTAATTATTAGTATTTTGCTAGTCTCTACTATAGTCATTTATAAAGACTTCGAATTGAAGAAATCACCTCACTAATTATAAAAAAAATAACTTAAAATGAAAGTCAAAACTTTGACATCCATTTAAGAAAACGAGTTCGTTCAATTAAAGTTAATAAATTTATTATTATAATTTTTTTTAAAAAAATTACCTTCAATTCATTCTACGTCTAAAATGGGTTTAACCGGAGTCCAATTTCGTTGACTTTTTATCATACGTCATTTGCTGACATCATATAAAAATTATCAGTGGATTAAAATCAACTTGCCCCCAGCCCAATGGGTTCATGTACTGAAGCCCAAATAATTGCACATTATATTTGGGTTTATGACCGAATTTATAAATGCGTACAAATGTTTCTAAGATGGATAATTGCAGTTTTGGTCCTTATTTTATACATTATTCTTAATTTTGGTGCTTAATGTTTTTCCTGCCACGAAATTGGTCCTCAATTAGCTGTTTTTTTTACACTTTCCGATCTCCCATTGAAATTGGATGGAAAAATTAAGGACCAAAATCAAAATGATGTATAATATAGGGATCAAAACTGTAATCATCCGTTTCTAAGATGTTAAGCTTTGTTTAGATATATATAAATAAAATATTGTGTTTATGTTGAGTGGTGTTCGCAAAAGTTTTTAAAATTGTAGAATACGATGATCGTGAGTAAAACGTGGAAATAAGTGTTTATTTTACGCTAGCTTTCTTGATTTTTTTAGAACATAATGGAAATTAATTTGTCGGCACTTCCGAAAAAGATTTTTTTTAGTTTTTCAAGAGTGCTAATTTCTTTTTTCGAAGAATTTCAACTTGAAATATTTGTTTTATTTACGTTATTTTTGCTAGTACAAGAATTCGATCAGATTCATCCGATTTATGGTAATTTTAATAAACAGATCAACATTCTAATAATGGTGCTTCTGTCTTTGCATTCAGTGTACACTAATTCCAGCCTGTAAGTAACAATGAAAAGAAAGAGAAACCCGATTAATTTACTGTTTTTAATATCAATAATTGATGTTATAATTCCATCAAATAATTGCTAATAACATCATTTAAATAAATTATAGAGATTAATTAAATAATGATGGTATATTAGTTATTTATTGTGTCTATCTGTACTTGCTTTACTGGACAGCAGTGCAGAATTATACTAGTCATTAAATAAAACTAGGATTAATTAATTGAACGAATTTATGTTTTTGTAGGATTTAAATTTAAATAGAAGATAATGATAGGGGCTGCTGTGTACAAAATATTTTAAATTAATCAATATAAAAATCATGAGATCATACATTCATACTTTTGTCATTGTCGATATTTCTTTAATTATTTTATTCACTACCATACATTCTCAAAAGCTATCCGTTAAGTAATTATCAAAGTTCAAATAATTTTCCTTGCCTATATTTGGATGAAAATTAAATATTAATATTTATGGAATCGGTCGATTACTGGCCTAAAAATTGATTCATCCGACGAATTAATTTTTGCTCAAATTTGAAAACTATTGCATACCCAATTTTTGAGGACCGTTTGTCGTTTGATGGTTGACAACTGAATATTTGAATCTGAAATAGCCGGTTGATGGATATTTCCGTCACCTAGTTCATAAAAAAAATCAAAATTTGGAATAAAAATATGCACATTTTGTCAGGTGACATGCATTGTCGTCATTTATTAGTTCAAAATAGTTAATGAAAATTCGACAAATAATATAATTTTGAAACTAAAACTAATTCAAAATATGCACATTCCGTAAATTCCGATAATTACCGGTCAATCGACTTTTGATAATATTAGATACCATCAACCGACCTTTTATAGATGAGTAGTTTAAAATTTTTGTCCCGACCTAATGAGTCGATTAAAATATTATTCACCTGAAAATATGGTCAGTAATGAGTTGTTTGCTCGGTAAAAACCAACTCGATCCCAACTCTAATGGATATTTACTTACTTCCACTTGAAAGTGAATGATTTATTTACTGCAGTAAAAAGAAGAGAAGTACTTCTCTTAGGCGGTTGTTTTTTTAATTAATATTTTAAATGAATCCAATTAAGGGCGCCAAAATTGGTGGGACCCAATCCCAACTGTTCATCACTTGGCAAATTGTGCTTTCCTTTTCCCCAAAGCCCACCATTCAGCCAGCTAGCTAGGTTTCGTTGCCAAAGTGCCAACCAATTAAATTAAGTGTTTCCATTAAAGTATTATATTAATAATTTATAAATATATTCCCTCATAAATAATTATATCCTTCCTCGGAAAATAATTATTTTTTCATCCAGCAAGTTGCGGTTTATTATTTAAATGCACTACAAAATTAACTCCACCCAGGACCGGGGGTACATATATAGATTTGTTCAACCCTACACCCGGTGATAAACACCGGGTGAGTCTTCTGCTGCCACGTGTCTCTTTTTTTTATTTTATAATAGATTCCCCGTTAGGATTTACCTTTAGGGGTTTTAGAAAAATAAAAAAAGAAACACGTGGCAGCAGAAGACCCACCCGGTGTTTATCACCGGGTGTAATTTGGTGCACATAACTCCTTATACTTTTAAGTTTTAATATAAGCACATAATTTTACCTTAAAAAAATCATCTTCTTAATGAGCATTATTATTCATCAAGTAGAATAAAATAAGGGGATTATGCCCTTATATTAAAGTACAAGGAAGTCATGTGCATAAAAATCAAATTATATTATATATAGGATCATATGCGCTTATTTTGAAAGTATAAGGGTCTTATGTACATAAAGTTCAAAATACAGGGAGTTAAAGTTCTATTTATCATATATAAATTTGAATAGGCTTGTGCATTCAAGTCATCTATAAATTTGTTACATGGTTGTTCACTTCAATTTATTGAATATTAATGAATGTATTGAATGGATGTATTAAATGAATTGTTGAGTGAGATATTGATTTAAATTTGGGTAAATTACAGTAAATCCCAGGTAAGGTCAAATTACTAAAAAATAATTTATGTTTGGTAATTACAACCATCTTTCTTAACTATAAATTTTCTTACACTTTCATCTTTGCGATGTGAAATTTAGTGGAATCTTTTAGATTATGTGAAATATTCTCCAGTTTGTATCCGTTTTGCCTCATTCGAGCTCCACATTTTGAAACAAGATGATCATAAGATGTGTCACTTCGCTTGTAAATATCAGATTGTGGTGCATCTAAAACTGCATTTTTGCACAAAATGAGTACGAACTAGAGAACATTCCACTGAATCTAGAATATTATGTTGAATTTGATGGAGTGATTGTAATTATCAAAACATGATTTTTTTTTCGTAATTTAGTGTGGTCATAATTTACACTTTAAATCTTAATAATAATATAATAATCATCATTTCATTATGAAAAAGAAAACTTGGAATAAATGAACTATTAAATCAGTTTCATCCAAACTTACTGAAAATGGACTCCAGAAAAACCAGAGTATGTTTGTTAACTGTTAAGTCAAATACTAAATAATTAGTTATATTTGCTGAAATGCCACTTCAAGCAAAAAGTAAAAGAAATCTTTATCATCACTCTCAAGGCAACTTGTGCATTACAAGAAATATATTAAAATATAATTTAAATAAAAAAATTAAAAAATTGACAGTTTCACAGCTCTCTGCTTCCTCCATGTTAATGGCGGTCTCTCTCTCTCTCTACCCTTTTTACCCCCACTGCCCCCACAGCAGTTATCACTCAGTAACCACTCCATCCCCCATTCTTTAGTCATCTTCAATTAAAAAAAAAATTAAAAAATTCCTCTGTGTAATTCCATCAAAATAATAGGGTTTTTTTTTTTTTTTTTGTTTTGCTTGAAATTCAATTTCAAAGATCCGATTTTTCTCCTCAGAAATTCATAAGAAACTAAATTCCCGCAAATGGGTTTCTCCGTACATCTTCTTTATCTGCTCCTCCTCCATTTCCAAGCTTTGATTCCGTTCTCAATTGCATACCCATCTCCGCTAAACTGTACGGACAAATCCCGATTGTGCACTTCTTTCCTAGCTTTCAAACCCACTTCCGACCAAACACCAGCAGTAATTCAGAGCATGTTCGATGTGCTGCCGGGTGACGTCACAATCGAAGGCAACGGCCGAGATTACGTCTTCATCAGAAAGAACTGCTCTTGCGCTTCTGGTGGGCTGCTCGAGAACTACTACCTCACGAACACGACTTTTACAGTGAGGGAGAACAACGGCTCCGTTTACGATTTGGTGATCGATTCGTACGGTGGGCTCGCTTATTTCCCGTCGAATTTCACCCGGGCGGCGAAGAAAGGGGCGGTCGTTTCGTTGCGGCTGATGTGCGGTTGCTCGAGTGGGCTGTGGAATTATCTGATGAGCTATGTTTTGAGAGATGGGGATAGCTTGGGGTCTCTTGCTAGTAGATTTGGTGTTAGTATGGATCATATCGAGACGGTTAACGGGATTGCGAATCCGGATAATGTTACCGTCGGAGATCTCTACTATATTCCGTTGAATTCCGGTATGCTTATCGTTCGTCGTTTGGTTTTTCGGTAGTTTTTTTTTTATAGCTGGATTTGGTGTGGTTGATTAGTTGGTTTGCGTTAGTAGTTATTTTTTTTACTCGGTGCTTTCGAATGCAATGAATTTTCGACAATGCGGGAATTTTATAAGTGTGTAGTTCGATAATGATTAGTTCGTTTGCATTAGTACTTCCTTTTACTTGGTGCTTACGAATGCTATGAATTTTCTACAATGTGGGAATTGTAACTGCGTAATTCGCGTTCTGTAAGGGTGCGTTTGGATGGGAGGATTTGGGAGATGGGTTTTCAAATCCGTAGTAATGAATCCGTTGAGCTTGTTGGATTGAGTTATTTGACAATGAGTTTCAAATCGTTAGCTCTCGTTTTAGTTTCATTGTTTCGGCAGTTATGTTGGATTTCAAATCCTTCAATCCAAACGCAGCCTAAGAGTTGTTGCGTATTAGCTGAATTTTCTGTATTTTTGTTGCCGTTTTCGACTTTGATATATTATTATTTATTGCACGTGTTTCAGTTCCCGGTGACCCTTATCCGGTAGAGAATGCTACACTCCCGACTCCCGTTCAATCTCCATCAATCGATAAGCCTGCAGGTACGATAATTAATTCAAGATTAATGGGTCGAAAAAGTCTAATCAATTACTCATTTCAAGATTCTATGAATGGAAGTAAATAACTTATTACCCCCCTGTCTTTGTTGATCCGATCGATAAAATAGTTTCCACTCGAAACATCGTCGGTCGGTTTTTTTATCATTAAAAGTCATCCAAAAGTTCAATCTTGATTCGCAAGTACAATTTTTTTTTTTTCGTTTTGTTTTTTCAGCGAATAAGGTGAATGGAAAGAGTCGTGTACCTTATTGGTGGATAATCGGAAGTCTGGCGGTTGGATTGGTTCTCATTATTGTGTTGGTGCTTCTCTTTATTTCGTTGAGATCGTCTAAATGTTTCGGTGGATCCCAAAAAAGTCAACCCAAAGATTCCAACGGAAAGATTCCACACAAATTCCGGATTCTTCGAAATACGAGTTTCTGCTGTGCTTCGGGTAGGTCCATATGCTGCAAATCTGGGGATTTCAACCACCCTAACGGGGAATCTAGTAACCGCCAGATGAATATTCCTTCAGGTTTGACTTTTTTGACTTGATGTAAATTAATGGCCTAAAAGTCAAGATTAACAAGTCCATATTGCATTTTTTCTAATTTGAATAAATTGGTTGACAATGTAATTTATTCTAATAATATATTGGTATGTTTACGACTATCAATGCAGTTATAGGAACCGATGTGTTTGATGTGGAGAAACCCGTAATTTTCACGTACCAAGAGATTCTTTCTTCGACTGACGGGTTTTCCGATTCTAATCTTTTGGGGCATGGAACATATGGCTCTGTATATTATGGTCTCCTCCAAGACCAGGTATACATACATACATACATACATACATACATACATACATACATACATACAACTATCTCGATTTTTCCGATTTTTTTATTTTTTAATTTTTTAAGTACTTTTTTTTTTATGTAATGTCGTCTCCGCTTGAAATTCCAGGAAGTTGCCATAAAAAAGATGACGGCTACAAAAACGAAAGAATTCATGAAAGAGATGAAAGTTCTTTGCAAAGTTCACCACACAAATCTGGTAATTATATATAATACTGATTTTCGTCAGCTTTTCGTGTCGGTTGACTTTCTTGAATTGGAGGGTTGACTATAAAATTTGTGTTTTTTGATTGGTCAAAAGGTAGAATTGATCGGGTACGCAGCTAGTGGCGACGACCTATTCCTCATATACGAATACGCTCAAAAGGGTTCGCTCAAGAATCACTTGCACGACCCTCATAACAGAGGTAATTAATTAAGCATCCTATCCTTAATTCGTCGAAATTGTTTATTGCTAACGATAAAATAATTAAAACAAGAAAATGTATTCTTGATTTTCGGATAGGTCATACATCACTATCATGGATATTGAGGGTTCAAATAGCACTAGATGCAGCTAGAGGATTAGAGTACATACACGAACACACGAAACCTCATTACGTGCATCGAGATATCAAAACTAGCAATATTCTACTCGACGGTAGCTTTAGAGCAAAGGTTTGCATTTCATTTAATCCCGCCTCAAGTTATATAAATTTTTTTTTTCGTTTTTAACTGCATCTGATTTTATTTAAATTTATTTTAGATATCGGACTTTGGTTTGGCGAAACTCCTTATGGCTAACGAAGTAGAAGAATCAGTCACCAGAGTTGTTGGCACTTACGGTTATTTAGCTCCGGAGTAAGTGATTAGTGATATATATATATCATATATGCACTTTATTAATTTTTTTCTATTTCTTTCTTTATTTATTTAAATGATTTCGATTTATGGTTTTTTATTTAGATATTTGAGGGATGGGCTGGCGACAATTAAAAGCGATATTTATGCATTCGGTGTGGTACTTTTCGAGATGGTATCTGGAAAGGAGGCCATGACTAGAAGTGCTGAAAGGCGTTCGTTGGTATCGATCGTAAGTCGTATTTTTTATTTTTTTTATCAGATAAAATGTATTTTTTTTCTTTCAATTATTTTAAATAATTTATATATATATATATATATATATTTTTTAAATGTTTTCAGATGGTGGCAGCACTGAGGAACTCACCGGATTCCATGACTATGTCGAGCTTAAAAGACCATATCGACCCTAGTCTCATGGATCTCTGCCCGCACGATTGTCTTTTCAAGGTACGCAAAAAAAAAAAAAAAAAAAAAACGAACAAAATTTAAATTTTGGATTAGATTATAAATAAGATAATATCTTTTTCCAGATGGCTATTTTGGCGAAGCAATGTGTGGACGATGATCCGATTTTAAGACCAGATATGAAGCAAGTAGTGATATCGCTTTCGCAGATTCTGTTATCTTCGGTTGAATGGGAAGCGACTCTTGCTGGGAACAGCCAAGTATTCAGCGGCCTCGTTCAAGGGCGATAGAGTAATTTTTGCAACGTTTATATCACATTTTTTTTGCGTGTATTTTGTGTGTATAGCAGCGTATATCGTAATTATACATAGATCACCTTTCTTGCAGATAATTCTTTCATAAATTGCTCTGTTCATTTTTTGTACTGAATATTTCTTTCCAAGAACAAATAACTCAAAAAACTTGAGGTACACTTTATTATTAGTATTATATCATCATATGTTATTGCCAAATATGTAAGTACACAATTCTGTCTTGTGACAATATCCAGAAAAGGTCAACTCAAGAGGGACTGTTTCTGTTTTCTATCTCCTCTGTTTCCATCTTTTATTTCTTTGAATAAAGTCAACTCAAATTTTTTAAATTCCATGTAAGAGGTAAGTAAATTACGAAAATATCTTTTATATTTGGGTAATAATGATATTCTTCCTTAATTATGAATCTTCTTACACGTCCATTATTGGGGAGTCAATTTTAGTTGAATCTTCTAAATTTTGTTGAATATTCTCCAATTTCTACCGTTTACCCCATTCCAGTTTCACATACTGAAACAAGATAATTATAAAATGTGTCCTTTGATTTGCAAACATAGATTATGGTGCATCAGAAACCAGAAAACATTCTAGGGAATCTAGAAAATTCTGTTGAATTTGACGCCATTAGGATGAATGCTTACAAAGATTCATAGAGGTTTTTTCGTAATTTTGATCTCATCTTAGGGGTGCCCGTAATTTACCGTACGATTAATTCTTCATAAATCTGCTCTATTCATTAGTAAACTATACACATTCCTTCATAACAGAGGCACCCTTTATTATTATTACATTCATGTGATATGCCAAAATATACACAAACAAAGTACAAAACACTGTCTTAAATTCTTAAAACAAAATCAAGAAAATATTACACTACACAATTCTCTTTCACTTGCAGAGTGAAGCTAATATCCTCCGAGGAGGGGTGAACGGTTTTCTCGAGTGAAGAACAGCCAAATTATCGATCAGCAAAACATCACCCTTCCGCCACGGGATAGCTACACTCTCGTCTTCCAAGATTTTCAAACAATCGTACATTATATTATCCGGCAAAACATTCCCATCTCCAAAAGTCACCGCCTTTTTAGGATCGTTCCGTTTATCTTCCCAGCCAGTATAAGCAGCCACCATACTATTGAACCATATCTTTCTCTTCCTCGTTTCATCGTTCTTTATAGCTGGGATTGGCCCCATTATCGTTTTCGCTCCGTCTTCTGTCCACTCCAGCTTCATGTTCAATTCAGCAGCCCTGTTAATTAAACGACACAAGTTTTTTCAGAAATTAAAATTGTAAAAGGTTGGTATTTTATTATTATTATTTTTCTTTTTTTGCAGACAAGTATGAACCTTTCTTCAGCCAGAGTCTTGTCCTTGGTCAAGAATGTCGATTTCCAGCCACGGCCGATTGGGGACGACGGGTCGTCTTCTTCGCCTAAGACACGAGTATATATAAGCCCGTGTTTATGTAATTTGTCGACGAAATCCGGGTATTTTTCGGTCATTTTGTCGTAGATGATATGACTTAGAACAATGGGAGTTTCTCCACCATTTGCTGGTTCTACTTCACAGAAGAAGAACAGCTTGGAAGGGTAGTTTGGTACCTGCATGCAAAATTTCAAAATCTCACACAGATGTTAAGGAAAGCTATTCATATTTGTTAATGGCAGCTTCAACATATTAAATTATCGAGATCTCAGTACAGAAGAAACCCTCGGATGATCGTAATTCAATTTAGTACGGATGACCTAGAAATTGGGGCAAAAATTGAAAGAGGGGGAAATTGACCTGAGCCATTTCATGATGGAAGGGGATTTTCTGATCGGGCGGGGACTCGTTGGCGGTGAAAACCCGGCCGACGACGTTGGTCCTCGGAGCGGCGCCGCCGACGTACGGCAGCTCCTCGTACCCAAACGCTTCTACGACGTCGTTGAAGTCAGACGCAGTTGATACAGAGTCGAAGCCACGGAATAGAATAGCGCCGTGTCTGTGCAGAAGAGAGTCCAGCCATGGCTTTTGGTCCTTAACGGCCGCCGTTAAAACAGACGGCCGGTTACGGGAGTGTTCGACTGCTGCGGTAGGAGACAATACGGCGGGAAAAAGAGCTCCGCCGTAGTTTTTCTGGTGTGGGAGTTTGGTTTCGGCAAAGAAGATTGGATTTGCAGGCATGATTTACAGAGCCAAATTAGCCAATCATGCAGCAGACTTGAAAAAGTTTTTATCCTCTCTCTTTTCTTGGGGGTGCTGTGTATCTGGACGTGAAGGCCGCCAGATTCTGATCACCATGATGATGACGTCATGGGGATATAAACAGCAAATTGGTAATTCGTAGGGTATTTTCGACATTCAATAAAGAAGAATAAATAAATTACGAAAAAGACCCTAATGTTTGAATAATTACAACCACCCATCAACTACGAATCTTCTTACACGTCCACCACTGCGTTGTCAAATTTAGTAGAATCTTCTAGATTATGTGAAATATTCTCCACTTTGTCCCATTTTACCCTGTCGAGCTCCAGATTTTGAAACAAGATGATCATGAGATGTGTCTCTTGACTTGTAAATATCAGATTGTTGTGCATCTGAAACTCCCTTTTTGCCCAAAACATGTACAAACTAGAAAATATTTTCGTGATAGGAAGATTATATTGAATTTGACCATAAAGGTGGACGCGTAAGAAAATTCATAGTTATTGGTAGTTGTAATTACCCAAACATAAGGGGGTTTTTTCGTAATTTAATCTTACCTTAGTGAGTGAACGTAATTTACCCAATAAAATAAAATACATATGGGGCCCCAGAAAAAAAATATCTTAGCCTAGGGCCCCTTATAATAATTGGGCCGGCCCATGCTGCTGTCATTTGCCTCAATTTTGAATCAAATGTCCCTAAACCGAAGCAGCAATTGTTTTCGGGGTCTAAAACTAATTTAACATAAATTGTAGGACTCAAGGAAGAAATAAAACTACCACAGGGGTATGAAAACCATTCGCCGATGGATAAATTTGAATAGAGCGAGCGAGCCTTTAGTTACCGTTGGGAAAACGCCACACACACACACACACACACACAGAAAACGCAGAGAGGAGGAGAAGAAGACGATGCCGAAGAACACCGACGCGGCGAAATCGAAAATTAGGTCAAAATCGACGAGGAAGCCACTCCGAGACGTCTCAAATGCCAAAACTGCCATCAAATCCGCCATTAATTCCAAGAAAACCTCCGAAGATGGAGGAGGGCAAACGGGAGAGTATTCGCTCGATAACCTCTTGCTCGTACACTCCGATCTCTCCTCCCTCATGCGACAGGTATTACATATTCTTTGTGGAATCAATTTAAAAAAATACTACATTTAGGAGGATTTTCTTATGAACTGTCTCGTGTTCAATTTTATTGGGGAATTTGATGATTCTGTGATGATAATTCCAATTTTTGTGTGAAAAGCCAATAATTTTGTCTGTCGAGTTTTCTAAATGCGAATTAGCAACTTTCATGGTGGATTTTTTTGATGATTATGGGTTGTTTATGTCATGTTTTACTTTGAGTTCTAAATTATTTATTCATATTACATAGAGTTACTGATGAGGATAATTTAAGAGGAAAATAGTTGGTTTGTGGCATGCCTAATTTGAACTGATTTTGCTCATCATTCATTTTCGAAGGAACTTTTTTTCTGGATTGGTTTCATAGTGAGAAATGTTTCTAGTTAGTTAAGTTGATCTCTTAGTAAGCTAAAACAAGTGAGATTTGCTGCTATTGTACTGTTAAATTTTGTTCATGAAAATTAGACTATTTACTTACACAGCTCATTTGTTGGCAGATCGACGAGCTTGTGGTCCAAGCACTTAATGTGACAAGCAATAAGGGGAGGCAGGAAATCAAACAATTTGCAGATGTCTTGTCTGATATTCAGAATTCCTTAAAGGTTGATTCTCTGTTTGATTCTTTTGATTCGTTACGAATTCCACATTACGTTACCATGTCTTAATTTCTGAATGTATTACTCTGCAGCCATGGGTTCCCAGATTTCAGAAGGCACTTCTCATGCCCGAGAGTAAGTCTGAGCAGCCTATCGAAAGAAACGTAGTTTGTGAACAGAAAGAAAGTACAAATGCTGTCATCGAAAGCCCTGTACAAACTAAGTGGGAGTCGCTTGTCTCTCCATCTCCCCTTGTGTCTTGGCGGGCTGAATGCAATACAGAAGGTGGTAGGCAATTGTTTCTACTCACACCCCTGCCTCAGAAAACGGCATTTTCGTCCAAATATCCGACATCCTCTATTCGTGCATTGGAAGATATTACATTTGATTCAGCCAGAAACTTGGATAAGAATCTGGCTGAAACTGTTCCAGACGAGGTTTTGGATAAAGAAGAGGTAACTAAAGCTGTTGGCGATCTTCGGACCAAGTGTGTTTCTCCAGAAAAATTCTCAAAAACGAATCGCTCTATGTTTGTGATGACTACTCCGTGCTTGAAAATGTCGCCGCCCAAGTCTTGCATATTGCTCGAGCCAATATCTGCCTTCTCCAAAAAGAAGAACAAGGCATTCCATAAATCTACCCCTTTTCCTTCAAGAGTTGAAATTCCTAGCGAGTCCCTAGATTCTGAATCCTCGAGCAGTCAGTCCTCGGATGATTCGAAGGTGAAGTATCCAGAGATTTTGGGGATAAAAACAGAAAATTTGGAGAAGAAAATGGTGGCGGAATATTCACCAAGTTGGATTGTATCACCTCCTAAAACATGTGCTATAATGGAGCCTTCTGATGAAAAACTCTTGAAAGACCTTTCCGGTAATCAGGAAGAAGACTCGTTGATAATTAAAGAGCTTAAAGGTGATAATTGCGCAATCTTTCTCATTTTACCGTTAGTACTTTAAAACAAAATTTGAAATCTAATTACAGTTGTGATTGTTTATTTCTCGTGGCAGATATTGGTGGTAAAGTTGATTTAGCTGAAAGTACACCTATGATCAAGGTGCCGGTGAGCAGTTTCCGAATTGGAAAGCATCCAGGGGAGAACACATTGAAGAAGGAACTCTGGACAAGATTTGAAGCAGCATCTACTTATGGTACTCGTTTCGATGGCTCGTGTGTAGAAGATTCTACTACCAAAGGGTTTCTTGACAAATTGGAAGAGGTTTTCGATGCATAATATTGTGTCTGTCATTAGTAAAATTTTGAGCTCAACTAGTGAAAGTATGTGTAGATTGTCTGTGTTGTTAACAAAAGCTACAGCTTAAAGACCTTCATTAGAGGATTTTTGAGATATAAATTTTAAATGTAATGTATAAATGGTGCAGTTTTTATCTTCTTAACCGGGTCAACAGATTTTGACCCGGAACCGTGACTTTATTAGGGCGATTAAAAGATGGGGTCGAAACTCGAACCAATGGTTTGAACCGGCGGGTTGGCCCGTATGTTTAACAAATTTATTTTTTGAATTTTCGATGGTCAAGATTGGTTGATTACCAACGACGACCCATATTAAATGACCGTTGCTTGAATCGGAACGTATTTCTATTTTTTTTAAATTATCGTAAAGAACTAACAAAAATATTTAGATTTTTTTTTTTTTTTATCGAAACGTGTTTCTAAATTCACCAAGTGTCCGACAAGTATCTCGTACGAGAGGTGTCCGAAATGCGGATATGTCAACAAGTTATATGTCCTTGCAAAATATAATTGATTTATTGTTAAACTAATAATGTCATGGGATAAATTACATAAAAGAAAAAAAAAAAGAAATTATAATATTACATGGAATTGAACATATTACTAATCAAATAATTAATTAAAATTAATATAAGAAAATAATAATAAAAACCAAATTAATTACACAATAATTAAATGTCAAAACCCTCGCTCCCGGCAAAAGGAAAATCACTTAAACCCTCACCTCCACCGTTTGCAGACACTAACACCGGCACCTCCGCGCACAATGGGCGATTCCGTTCAATTGATCAAACACGTCGAGTTGTACGTTAACTCCTCCGCCACTCCGTCGCAGCAGGTATTTTCTGCATAATGTTCCAATTTATTGCAAAATCAACCAGTAGAGCAGTAATCCATTGTTTTCTAATTATTAATTTACTATTTAGTATTTTCTCCGTTTGCCCTTCTGCAATCCCATTCCCCCTGCTATTTGTTCAAGACCCAAAATTAAGAGCTTCATTATAGTAAAGATGTGTGCTTTATTGTAAATACACGGTTTTATCAAAGTTATCGGTTCAAATTTATGCTCAATTGTAACTCTAGAGTGGCTGTTTGTTAATACTAGTAGCGTATTTTGTGAATTTGAGTTACAGGTTGCCAGCGTGGACGCTGTTGCTGCTCTGTTGAAGAATGATTTATTAACTCTGGATGCACTTGTAAGTTATTAATTTTTCGTGATAAATCTTTTTTTTTCTGTTCCTTTTTTTTTTTGGTTTTTATGTGTTTCCAGTAATCAATTTTGTCTATGTTTAACTTTGATTGGATAAAAATTGAAATGGTTACGATGGCTATTTTCGTTTGTGCAGGTTAGGGAAATGGAGATGTACTTGACTACTACAGATAGCATCGTCCGCTCCAGAGGTAATGTTGTCTCTATTACCAATTCATTTTCCAGCTACTGTACTTATGCCCGATGTTATTGATGTAAGCCTGTGCCTATGTGTGTGATGATTTTTCGAGGTTGTATCAATTCTTTTATATTTCAAGGTGGGGGTGTCCTTTTTAGTGGGCATCTGAGATGGTGCTTTTCTGTGGTTTTGTGTATGATTTTGTAATGTTATACTACATTCTGCCTTCTAGTTTTAATAATTTTTAAAGTTTTATTTTGTTGTTAACATACATATTAATCCTTCTCGAGTCTTACTTAATACATGCCATCATCCAGGAACTCTGCTCCTCGCTGAAATTTTGGAACAACTAACATCAAAGCCCTTAAATAGTACTTCAATACATAGTCTAATAGGATTCTTCACGGAAAGACTGGTGAGTACACAAGATATGGAAAAACATTGATATATCTGGTTAATCGCGCATTAGATATTCAATTCTATCATTATAAAAGACAGATAATAGATTATGTATATCAGGCAGATTGGAAAGCACTACGTGGTGCAATTGTGGGTTGCTTGGCATTATTGAGGAGAAAAGTTGATGTTGGAATAGTAACTGATAGTGAAGCGAAGGCTGTAGCTCAGTCATATCTCCAAAATCTGCAGGTGCAGTCCTTGGGACAACATGACAGAAAGGTAAAACCGCGTACAAACCATGTGACATTTCAATTCTCTTTGCTTTCCATGCTAACTGTATATGATAATTTTATTATCGTGTATCAAATTCCTTGCAGCTAAGCTTTCAACTCATGGATTGCTTATTAGATCGCTACCCTGGTGCAATAAGGGATTTGGTAATTTTTCTACTTTTTTGAACATTTATAGTTTTATTGGTTGTTGCATTCACGTAATCCGTAAACTGTATTTACCAAATACTCACGATTGATTATCTTAAATTGGATTTCGGTGATTGCTCCTAATATTCTCATGGCTTTGCCTAAAAATGATTGAAGGAAAATTTCCAACTTAAGATTTTTATACAAAACTGCTACCTGTTGTATGAGTTGTTGCGAGAAGAAAACTAGGGATGGAAACTGATTCTTTCCGCAACTTCCTACATCTATTTCCTAGTCTCCTTGCATGGATTTCGGTACTTAAACTGTGGCATTGTCACATATCCTAATGACTAACTTCTCCCTTTTGATCTTGGACCCGCTCCATTTTCAAGTCCAGTGCTTACAGGTAAGCTTCATTTCAAACGTTTAGATGGTAATTATTCTGGAAGCGTCAAGGTTGATGAACATAATGAGGTCTCATTGTCTATGATATTCCCACATGTGTTACAACTTACAATCATAAATCCTGGAATGATGTCATAAAACATTTAATCAATATGTTTGACCGCATTCTATTTGCTTTATATTCATTTCTGTTTTTTCTCTCCTCTGCACCATATTCTGCGCTGAGACATGTGTAAATAACTGAATATTACATTCTTGGTCAATTACCACGCCCTACTTTGTGGACTGGTAATTGGTGTTGCATCATGTGCTTTGTTCAACCTTTTTCTTTTAACTTTCTGTTGATCTGTGCAAGTACTGTTTATTATGGGTAACAAAGATCTAAAGTTTGCCACTATTGTTTTTTTTGTTTTAGGGAGATAACCTTGTGTATGGAATCTGTGAAGCTATTGATGGGGAAAAAGATCCTCAATGCTTATTGCTCGTATTTCATATAGTGGAGAGTCTTGCAAGATTATATACTGGCCCGTTAGCAAATTTTGCCGAGGATCTGTTCGAAATTTTAGGCTCTTACTTCCCTATCCATTTTACCCATGTGAGATCTCTCAACTCTTGTTTTGTTTTGCATTTCTTCTCATATAATTTCGTATGACCACTGACAACTCTTATTGCATTGAGTTTGCAATATTCTAGGAAAACTCGAAGTATGGTCTGATTATATTTATGATATATAATAAAGATGGTTGGGACATAATAAAAGAAAGCTGGTTCACTGGTTAAGAAAATTGATTGGCAGGTACTGGTAGTAAGCTAAGCAAGACGTAACCTAGAAATTCTCGGTACTAGGTTTTTGAGAACAATATAGATACAATGATCTTCCTAGAGCCAAGTGAAAAGAAAAATAAAATGAAATGCAACTGAATTAGTAGTGCAAGATAAGGCATTGTTAAGTTAGATAAGATATACGGTGGTGAGATCCTGTGCAGATAGAATACAGCTCTCAGCGTTGTATTCAGTTTTGAAACTTTTGATTCATGATCTGACTTTAGGAAATTTGTGCTGATCGCCTGACTCGACCTATGGTTCTGTATGTCTTAAGTTGGTGCTTGTACACTAAGAGAGAGGGCAGATTTCTTTTGATTTTACTATGTTTGTTCTCTACACTGATTTGGTTTTAATCTACTTTGTTCAGCCAAAAGGCGAGGATGATGATGTGAAAAGAGAGGAGCTCTCAAGGGCATTAATGGTATGTATTTTGCTTCATGTTATGATACAAATAAAGTCTAATCTCTCCAAGTTATCAGCTTAGGATTCTGAAAACCATCTATTAATAATTTTAGAACTGATTCTTTAATAAAATAATGGGCATGGAGTATGAAAATAAAGGACAGACACCCACAGTTTTCACAGTTTTCACAGTTTTCTATGTAACTGGAAATTCTGAAGGATGCAAATGCTACTGTTCTATAATCGATTATAAGTTGATACTCATTCTCAGATTCATACTTTTCTTTTGATGTTTTTCAGCTGGCATTTGCTTCTACACATCTTTTTGAACCATTTTCTATCCCCTTGCTGCTGGAAAAACTTTCTTCTTCTCTGCCATCAGCCAAGGTTAGTGCCGATTCATTGCAATTCTGTTTCTCGCTTTATCTCTTCGAAATTATGATTCTTTTTTATTGGGGTTATTGGAAGAATTACATGTATGCCTGCAGGTGGAGTCGTTCAAGTATCTTAGCTACTGCTCAACAAAATATGGACCTGAGAGAATGGTGAAACATGCTGAGGCTCTCTGGTCTTCTGTAAAAGATGTAACATATATTTCACCTAGTTCTACCCCGTCTACGGAGTCTGAATCAATGGGTGGAATGAGTTTTCAGGATAGTGAAATTATGAGGCATGCTTTTGTGCTTCTGCAGGAAGTTACTCGGCAACATGCTGATTTTGTTAGTTTAGTTATTGCTGACAATGACATACACGTATTTATCAACTCCCTAAATCAATATAAGGAGTTTGATGATATTCCTGTATTAGTCAAACAGAAATTACATGCACTTGGTCATATTCTGTCCACTTGTGCTAAACCCTCTGTTGAATTGTGCAATAAGGTCTTTGAGGGTTTCTTTCCACTCCTCATGGATGGTTTCGGGCTTTCAGCTGCAAAACCATCTGATAATGTCGAATGTAAATTTGGAGCCATATATCTGTGCACAGAACTTCTTGCAGCAAGCAGATATTTGACCTTGTCCCTTGACAATTGCACATTGGACCCCGATTTTTCTCGTCAGACATGGCATGTGATGCTTAGCAATTTCTCTAAATCACTCGAGAAGGCCTTCATTGCCCTCTTACGATCAAATGTTGCTGATAATGCAGAAAGTGCTTATGTTTATTTTGGAGGTTATAATTTATTTTTTTGAACCAATTTGCTGGTAAAATATGTTAAGAAATGCCTAAACAGCATGTCTTTGGATTGATTTAACTTGTAAATCTGATTCTTGTTGCATGTTTATTGTGAATATCTGCAGTTAAGGGCTTGCAAATTCTGGCTACATTTCCAGAAAGCTTCCTTCCAGTATCCAAGTCCATATATGACGATATTTTGTTGGAGCTTGTGTCAATTGTTACTTCTAGTGGCAGTAAGACATTCTTATGGACATTGGCACTTAAGGCATTAGTAGAGATTGGTTTCTTCATTAATAAATGTCCAGGCTCTGGGAAAGCTGCAAGTTTTGAGAGTATTGTCGTCGAAAAGATTGTTTCCTTGATATCTTCTGATGATTCAGCTTTGCCTTTATCACTCAAATTGCAAGCAGTTTTTGAAATAGGAGAAACGAGGAAAGATATTATGCTTAGAGTTGTCCAAGCGTTGGATGAGGCTATTTCTACCAAATTTTCTGAAGTTAATGTATGTATTCTATTTTATTCCTATCAACCATTAGCTAAAAATACTTGCATGATATAACTTAATGCTACATGTCTTTCAATTCTTGTAATTTCTCTACTTGGCATTCTACCGATACAATTGAGTCCTTAAAACCATGCAGGATCATGGGAATCATGAGTCGTATAATATGATTGTCAAGCTTCTTGATACTTATACGCAGAAGGTGCTTCCATGGTAAGCAATGTTTAATATGCTTTTTCTTCCGATCTTTCTCCACTTCTCCTGATTGTTTTTCTTACACTCTTAATTGCCATTATTTGTATTTCTAATTATTCGAAGCAATTGTTGACATGGCCCCAGGTTTCTTGAGATTGGAGGTTCTGAAGAAATTCCACTGAATTTTGCTCTTGGTATCTGGGACAAGATGGAAACTAGTAGGTTCCTGAACGTCAACCCTCTGCAAATTGCAAGTGTAAGACACGTCTAAAAAAAATGTTTCATGGCTTATATTTTGTTTCCTCGTGTTATACAACTAGTTAAGCGAGAATTTATGGAACTATATGCATGTTTTCAGGGTGTCCTCGGTGCAACAATGACTGCAATGAAGAGTGCAGTTGGGAGTTGTTCAAAAGAAAACCAGGAGATCATTATCAGCAAAGCTTTCGGAATACTCTTTTCAAGTACAGATTTTGGGTCGCCGGGATTTAAATCTGGCAATGATATAGTGAAGGAGGACGAGTTGCAGCAAACTAATAACAATGTTGGCAGAGATAAGTGGCTTACTTCGTTATTCGCGTCAGTTGTTATAGCACTCCGTCCTCAAACTATTATACCGAATGGCAAAATGGTTTTGCAGCTGTTCATAACAAGCCTATTGAATGGCCATGTTCCATCGGCTCATGCGTTGGGTTCTTTAGTTAATAAGCTACCTTTGGAGATTAACGGAATGGATTCATCTACAAGTTTTACTCTAAACGAGGCAATGGACATTATATTTCACAGTTTTAATATTCTGGGAAACGATGGCAGTGGGATTGATTTCGGTAGTTTAAGACTGAATACCTTGAGAATACAATCAGCAATTAACACTGTTGTTGGATTAGCCTGGATTGGTAAAGGATTACTTATGAGGGGTCACGAGAAGGTGAAAGATATAACAATGTCTTTATTGAGTTTCTTGACGATGGATGGTCAAGATGGGTTGCCGAAACAATTTCAGAATCTGATTGAAGTTTCTGACGAGAAAGGCGTAAATCAGCTGATGATATGTGCTGGGGATGCGTTTCGTACCATTATGAGTGAGTCTGAAGAATGTCTGAATCGGAAATACCATGCAAATGTACGACCACTCTACAAGCAACGGTTCTTCAGCACCATCATGCCAATTTTGATATCGTTGGTAGTAAAGTCCGAATCATCATTTGTCAGGTCAGTATGGAAATGACTTCCACACACACACACACACACACACACACACATATATATATATATATATATATATATATATATATATATATATATATATATATATATATATATATATATATATATATATATATATATTTCTTTGTCTTGATCGTTCTATATCCGTTTTTCAGATCTATGCTATACAGAGCCTTTGCACATGTTGTGACTGAAACTCCCCTGTCTGCTATTTTGGGAGAAGCTAAGAAGGTAAGTCTAATAGCCAGTCTATCTTGTCGATATTGTAGTCTCGTACTTTGGTATATTTATTTTTATTAACACAAACGGCTTTTCACGCAGTTGGTCCCTTTATTACTGGATTGTTTATCCATGCTGAGAAAGGATGTATCGAACAAGGAAATTATCTACAGTCTCTTGCTCGTCATATCTGGAGTATTGGTGGAGAAAACTGGTGAGAGAGGCATCGACTTGTATTTCTATTTTTTTATTCTCTCTTTATCTTGAACAAGATTTTGGTAAATTCAGAATGGCCTGAAATTGAAGCATACGAGTTTGTAATTACCGAGTTGTTTATTGCAAAAATATTTTGTTATAATCTTCTAAAGTTAGGAAATTGATGCATTCGCAGGACAAGAAGCTGCAGTAGAAAATGCACCCGGCATTATAAACCAACTTACTGATTTAACAGCATACTCGCATATGACGGTATAAATATTCTTCCTCAATAGCTGAAAACTTTTTTTACTGTTTTGTTTTTACGTGTTTAAACTAGTTCTATTCGTATGTCAAAGCCTTGCAAAATTGTGATCATTTAGGGGAATATTCCTTTTTATGTTTTCAGGCTATACGTGAAACAGCAATTCAGTGCCTTGTTGCCGTTTCTCAACTATCCCATACAAGAATTTATCCTTTGAGAACAAAGGTATGAATGTTTTTCCAATAATTTAATATTTTTTGGGGTAAAATAATTGCATTTATATCTTAATATTAAATTATTCTTTTGTGATAGGTTCTACGAGCCACATCGAAGGCGCTTGACGATCCTAAGCGAGTTGTTCGTCAAGAGGCCGTCAGATGTCATCAAACTTGGTAAGTTATCGAATTAATATTTTCAATTTATTTCATATCAAATAAGACTTGCATATGTGTGATGCTTCTTTTTATTCAATTATAGGGCTTCAATGGCATCAAGAAGTCTCCACTATTGAAATTATTTCAAGGATTTTCCAATGCTAAGCTGGTAAGATTCTGCTTATTTTAAATTGCCAAAAAAATATCTTATTAGCCAAATTCCAAATTACTGCCACGCCCAGAGGTAAGACCAAATTACGAAAAAACCCTTCTTGTTTGGGTAATTACAACCAACCCCTCAACTATGTATTTTCTTACGAAAAAACCCCACATTTAGTAGGTAAACTTGACACTGTAAGGGTGTTAGTGTAAGACAGTACATAGTTGAGGGGCGTGATTGTAATTACCCAAACATGAGATTTTTTTCTCGTTATTTCGCCTTACCTTAGGGGATTGGCCGTAATTACGCTATCTTATTTAACACTGCAGGGTAAATTACATCCACCTCCCAGAGATAAATTCTATTTACAGAAACTCCCCGAATTGTTTTAGAAATTACATCCAACCCCTTGCAGTTTGTAAATTTCTTATATCCACCCCCTAGAAAAGGGTGTTAATGTAAGAAGTCTACAAATTGTAGGGGTTGATGTAATTATGGAAACATGAGGGTTTTTTTCTTCATAAATAGACCTTACTTGAGGGGGCGGATGTAATTTACCCTTAACACTTCAAGATTAGTTCAACAAGTTTAACTTTCGCCAAATTTGTTTTCTTTAAATATAAGTTGTTACACATGGATTTATTCTAATTTATAACTATACTAATTTTCCTATTGCAGATTTCATTAGACCTTGAATTTTGCCTCCTCAGACTTGAAGCTGTATATTGTAGATTGTGCAGCATTCGTATATATTTTAGATGCGCTTCTCTGCTCGTTTGTTCACCTGTATCGTTAATTATCCATTTTTACACACATCCACTTGTGTGTGTGGTTGTATGCAAATTTACGATAAAAATATAATTATTCTTGTAGTATCCATTTTGGTAAGAAACATGAATTTTGAAGTATTTTACCAGGTGTAGCATAGATTTTTGGAATAATTATCTGTAGTCGGCGTTGAAAAGATATTGAATTCTATTGTTTATGTATACACAAGCATATAAAGTTATGATTCTTTAATAGGCTAATAAAATAAGTGAAATGTTTTTTACAGTTTGAAAATTGCTATTTACCGTTCATAACAAATAACCCTTTATCTCTCTAAAACCCCAAAATTTCCCAATAAAACCTAAAAACCCCCAAACTGCAAATAGCAAAAAAAAAAAAAAAATTCGAAAATTCGAAATCAAGCTTGAAGGTTGAGTTTTGATTTTTTGAGATAATTTCGACTCCTTTATGTGTAATATGCATTGGTTAGGTCGATTACGGAACCAGTTTCATGTTAAAAAGCCCTACAAATCGATTTGTAGGGCTTTTTTTTACGCACATACACCCACGAACGCCCATGACGGGCGCCCACGGCGTGTACGAACGCCCGTTCCGGGCGTTCGTACACGCCGTGGGCGCCTGTCTTGGACGTTTAATTCAGCTGCCTTGAACGGTAAATAACAATTTTCAAATAGTAAAAAGCAAGTTCCTAAAATAAAAAATTCAACAATTATTTGAAATAATTTTATTGGTCTTATTTTCAGTTTGACGTTTCCCCTGATATTTTTTTTTTACAAGAAGATATAATTTAATAATTTATGAGATATATATTTGTTTCAAGGGTAAATAGCATTTACCTCCCCTGTAGTTTGAATTTTGTGCACATGACCCCCTTGTACTTTTAATATTGCACGTGACCCTCTTGTATATTAATATAAACATATAACTCCCTTGTACTTTGGAGAATTTCATCTTCCTAATAAATATGATTATTTACCAATGGAAATACCATAGGGGGGTTTCGGGGTTATATTAAAAGTACAAGGGGTCATGTGAACAAAGTTCAAACTACAAGGAGGTCGTGTGCACAAAGTTCAAACTACAGGGGTTTAAGTGCTATTTACACTTTTTTTAATTTATAAAGAAACCCGCAACAAAACTTTTGTTGCGGGTCGGATCTTAGTTCGGATACGGGTCTTCCATGGCAACAGAACACGAATTTTTACAGACGAGTGAAGACTAAAAACGGAGCGCAGAAATAAATCAAAAGCTTTCATGGCAGATTCAAACCCTAATTCCACTGCTTCCGCCGGTATATTAGCTTCGCTTTAACTAGTTTGCAATCTTCAATTGAGTTTTGGATTTCTGTTTAAATTGGATCGATTCATCATTTTGATTGGATTTTGGGATTAACTCGGATTATTGAAGACTGAACGATGGGTGTAGTTTAGGTTTTTTCTGTTTGAATATAAAACCCTGATTTGTTAATCATTTTCTTCATTCAATCATGCATTTGTTTTTAGCTGATTTTAGATGTTCCGGCATTAATATTATGATTCTAGGATAAATCAACTGATGAACATTTTCAAGCTGCCTGTATTTCTTGGGATTAGAAATTAATTTTAGAAAATTGTAAAGCAAAGAGAATTTTAATTTTAAGCTCTTCTTCTTTTCACTAGAGAACTTTTTTTGGCAATGCGAAAGTGCTGAATGGTCTTTGGATTTCTATCGGGGAAATCCCAGTTACGTTTATTATAATTCCGTTATGAGTTAAGTTTCTAGGTTTAACATTCTCACGAACTAATCGAGATTGAAGAATATTTCTGAGTTCGTGTTCTATGCTTTTAAGTATTGTGTTAGCCTTTCTAAGTACACTCATCTACGACGACACATTTGCCCGCAAAATTGATGATTTGGAAGTTTGGTTTATTTTGATTTATCATTTAAATAAACGCTCTCGTTTCTCGTCTCAGAAAGTGCAGAAAAGATGGACGGGTGTAGAACAGAGTCCTTGCAAGAAGATTCTAACGGCCCCACCTCTGAGTCTAATCCCGAAGAAATCGGTTAGTTTTGCTGATTCCTAAATCGGAACTTCGTTTTCTTCTCCTTTTGGTGACACTTTATTTGTTATTTGTATTGTATGCATCTTTCTTGATGATATAGAAAGAAAAGCTCGGATAGACGCTATGTGGCAGCAAATGAATAAAGGAGTTCCCGCAAAAAAACCTTTTAAATCCATTTCGGAAAATCAGAGTTCGACCGCGAAAAAGCCTCCTACGAAAAATCCCGCACAAAAGTCATCAACAGTGAGGAAACAACTCCCCTTTTTTCTGTATATATTTATAGAGTTATGTTTAATGTTTATTCTGAAGCTAAACTTTGATAGTGAGGAAACCACCCCCAACCCCCATCGCCCCCCCTTCTTTCAGGGTTGGATGAATTATCTCGGTTTAGGATCGAAGACGACATCATCATCTCGACAAGGGGTCCCGGAAAATCGTCCCAGCATTAGCTCAAATAGTGACAATGAGGAAGCCAAGAAAATTGCCGCTGCTGCTCTTTCAGCAGTTAAAGATGCTGCTGCTGCTTCAGCCAACATAGGAAAGGGCAAAGTTGAGGTGCGTTTGTTTCCGCCTTTTTTTTTTTGTGAATTTTGTTCGTTTTACGAGTCTTTCCATAAGCCCGCAGGCCCCGCACAATGATGCATGCATAATTTTATACACAATATAAGATATCGATAAGAAAAAACGAGATATTTTTATGATGATGCATGCATAACTTTTGGTCATTTTTATGCTGTGTTTGCAGATTACGGAAGTGCGAGACTTTGCGGGCGAGGAAATCGAAGTGAAGAAAGTGATAGACGCCGACTCAAAGGAGGCGAATGAGAAAGGTAAAGGTGCAGCAGGAGCAACTTCAGCCGTCGACGCAATTTTAGAACAGATTAAAAAGAAAACAAAACTGAGTGTGCTTGACAAGACGAAGAAGGACTGGGGCGAATACAAAGGCGAAAATAAAGGATTGGAAGATGAATTAGATGCTTACAAGAAGAGCTCTAATCAATATTTGGACAAAGTTTCTTTCTTAGAGCGTGCCGATTACAGGGAGTTTGAGAGAGAAAGAGACGTTCGCCTCTCGTTGCAGGCCAAACGGAAGACTGATATGCGCGAGTGACTTTTGAGACTCCCGTTATCAAGAAATCTCAGAAAAAAAAAAAACAAGGTACTTTGCTTTTTAATGTTTTATCAATTTTTTTTCCCTCCGACTAGGTGAGAGTATTCCGAAAATCGATCAATTTCTTGAGAGTATTCAATTGTGGATTGTGTATTAGAACTTGATTATTAATTTATTTTTTTTTTGGAAATTTGTTTTTTATTTATTTATAGATATGGCTTAAGTTATTTTTATTTCGAAAATCCCGAAAGTACATAGTTGCTAGGCCTCAGTACTGTGCCCAAAATACCGAAGAAAAGAAAAAAAATCGAAAATAAAACATCACTAATTTTTTTATTACATCTGGAAAAAAAACTTGGATTTGAATTAATGGAGGATTGACTCCTTTACTTTGGGCGACGTGCCTTCTCAACAGGTCCAACTTGTCTTGCAAACTGCATGTACAAAATCACACACACACACAACACAAATTATTTGCTGTGTTATTATATATGTAGGTATAGATAAAAAAATACACACAGCAGAAAGTGTGAGTGTGTTTTTTGAAATAAAGAAAAGGGACCTGAAAATAGACTTCTAGTTTCTTTTTCAGGGTAGCATATTCCTTCTTCAATTGCTGGAAAGTTCTTTTGCATCTGTAAAAAATAAAATTAATTAATTAATCAAGAAATGCTAAAATGGTGCACACACACACACACACACACACACACACACACACACACATATATATATATATATATATATATATAATGGATATAATTGAAACTCACCCTTCACCATTTCCAGTTCTGCAGTACTCTCTGAACTGTGTGCACTCAATTTTCACCTTTTTTGCTCCAATGCTGCATGCACCATTAGAGAAAAAGGATTAATTATTATATATAGCCCCAAAATAGAATATTCCTTGTGACAGTAACTTTAAACATTTAATTTTACTTTCTCCTTTTAAAAATTTCAAAAATAAAATAAAATATATACCTTGAACTGCTGCCCTTGAACTGGTGCATATAGCTGTCCAGCTTAGAGAAATCAAGAGGGTTCTTCTCCCTATATAAATAATTAACCAACAACCAATTTAATTATTAATAATTTCAGAAATATATTTAATTTATTATCAAGAATATTTATGTACCATATATATATATATATATATATATATATATATATATATATATATATATTATGATTAAATTAATTTAATTAGATGAACTGACAAGGCTTGCTCTAGATTTTGGACAAGTCGAACGGAATCGCGGTAGTACAATGTGACAACTTCTTCGACGAAGTTGGGATTTACTTCATCTTGCAGCTCTTCCAGTTGCACAAATTGTTCATCCAGATATCCCTGCACCACAATTTAATTATTTAATCAATTAATTAATACATATAATTAATCAATTAATTAATTACACTAATGTCAAATGTTTGTGTGTAGCCATAGTTTTAAGATACTTATCCAGTTGCATGCAAGTTGGGACAACCTTGTACATAACAACAAGAACAATAATTAAAGGTATGTATCAACTTGCAAGAATATTACTCTTTCTATTTTGGGATAATTAATATAAATAAATATATGAAGAATAATGACACTAATTAATTTGCAGGTTAAGTAGAGCAGACATATATAGTACTATGGTGTTTTTTTTTTTTTTTTTTTTTTTTTAATTTACCTGATCAAAAAGTGACTGCTTCATGGTGGCGAGTTGCCTCTGCATGTTTGAGTTTGTTCTTCCGCGAAAATAATAACGCAGCACACAATTAATAATCGTAAGAGATCGAAGAGAGAAACTTATAAGCAAAGAGATCTTATAAGCAGCTATATGTATAGAGAGAGAGAGTAGGATATGTGAATGCTTTGTGGTTGTGATTTGTTAGGGTTTATATAGTTGCCAAGATCAATACTTTGGTCCCCTCATATGTGTATGTATGTGTGTATATATATATACACACACTACACTACAGTACACACACACACACACAAAATACAAGCAATTTTAAGTGCAAGTGTTTAAAGTTACACAACCATTGTGTGTGTGTGTGTGTGTGTGTGTGGATTATCTTCGACATTTTGTTGAAGTAACGTTAGAGAGGTGTATCGTTTAATATAATATTACGCGAAGTATAGCTAGCGAAAAAATTATAGAAAATGACCAAAATACCCTATATCATTAATCGTTACTTCATTAACTGACGATCTTTCAACTAATTAAGAACGACATGGGAAAATTTGAGAAACGTGCTATTAATGCATTACTGAAATTCTAAAACGACAAATATTTTGGCACCGATAAAATTAACTTTAGCAAATATTGATTCTTCTGAAAGAACAAAAATGGAAGATTCTTTAAAATGCACATCAGAAGATTTTTAATTTTAGAATCTTGCAATAATTTGCCTTTTTTTTTTCGAATTTATAGTATCTGTAAGCAGCACACTTTTAATTAGCTGATGGAGATATTTGGTATAATCCATATTTCATTAGTTTATGCCTTTTAATCTTTTTAGCGGGAAAAAAAAGCATAAAACTCTCAAATCACTCGAAAAGCGCTTATTTAAGAAGTCACATATCACTAATTTTGTTGCACTATCAGAGCAACTCCAATGCTAAATATCAAAATTGGATTATCAAATGTTCATTTGATATTTATGATAATATTTTAAAATACATTTAAAACTAATCTACCCCAACCATGGTAATTAAATTTTATTATCAATTGGAAGCTTTTTGATAGTTTTATATGTAACTGCCACATGTCAATTTGTGATTGGTTGGTTAGGTGGTTATTTTTTTGATAACTCAATCTGCAGGAAGTATTTTTAGATTCAAAGACGTGAAATATCAAAATACAAACCCATTTTAATAACCCATTTGGAGAACACAATTTTTAAATTTTAGGAATCAAATGGTAGTTAAGAGATTTGATAACTCATTTAGTAACTCCATTGGAGTTGCTCTTAAGATCTTGTTTGGCAAAATTTATTTTAAACAACTAATAAATTTTTATATATATCCGATAAGTTGTTACGTCTAATTTTTAAAATTAATTTTTAAAGTGTTTCGATAATGAGCTTATAAGCTTTTTTTTTACTCATTGTAAGATCTTCAATAGAAAGATAGTGTAGACTCACTTCCAGAAAAACACATTATTCGCTCTCCATTAGCCTATTAGTTTTTTTTAAGAGGATGTTTGGCTAAACTTATTTTAAACAGCTGATAAGTTTTTACGTCAGATAAGATGTTTTTAGGGTTGATAAGTTGTTACATCTTATTTTTAAAATTAATTTTTAGAGTGTTTGGATAATGAATTTATTTTATATTTTTACTCATTATTAGATTTTAAATAAAAATGTGGAGTAGATGTACTTTTTCAAAAATATCTTATTTGTTCTCCAATAGCTTATTTAAAAAATTAAGATCTTTTTAAAAATTTCACAAACACTTTGAAAGAGCTTATAAGCTCAAACATCCTATAAGCTCTTTTAACTGTTTATAAGCTTATCAATCTAAATAATTAGGGGAATGATTCTAAATGTGGGGTAGCTAAATCCTATTCTTTTTATATTGTTATAATCATGTGAACTCTCAATATTTGAATTAAAAAAAATGAAATAAATTGGTAACACATAATATAATTTAGTTATTAGTGTTGCATTTGGTGGTAGGATAAGTGGGACTTGGTGGAAGGAGAATATAATCATATATTATATACAGTTCACATACCAATAAAAGAAGTATCAATTTATTACCCAAAAAAGGAAAATTAATAAAAATAATAAAATAAAATGAAAAATTGAATAATGATTGACAGATAAATTTTTTTCACATGTCAAATCCAATGTCTTGTTTCTTTGTTATTCCAATTCCCCTTTCTGCAATAATTCCAGCCAAATTAATAACTTGTTAAAAGAAGATGTATGTTTAGAGATTCTCTTTTTTATTCTTCTGTCACAACCTGGTGTGCAGGCATGGCTATTTTTTTTTTTACAAGATATATATATATATATATATATATATATATATATATATATATATATATGGTCACATCTGATTCTTGTGTGTTAAATAAAGCAGAAAAAGAAAAAGAAAAGTGAGGAGGGGTGGAGGAATTGGGATCAGAATGCGATTACAAGTTTTGATTCTGTTTTTCAATCACTTTCTTCATTTGTAATTTCTTGATAAGAATCCCACAAATATATTTACTTCTAATATAATTAATTAATTTCCATTTTGGTATTTAATTAAATAATTCAATGAAATTCACATGTCCAAGCAAATATTTGGTGATGATTTGTTTTTTCCCCTGCCAAACAAATCGCATCACGTGTCAGTTGTCACGTGCCTCATTTAGTTTATATTATAGTAGCATAAAAAAATAAATTAAAAAATTAAAAAAGAAAAGGTCACTTGCATTAATTTAGACGGCTCTTATAATTCGACCCAAATAGTTCATGTTGCTCGAGCTCAAGTTCAAGCTGGATCAATTTTTTACGAACTGAAATTCGATTTTTAGAGCTCGAACTAGCCAATAGCGTTGCTAGCTGGCTCGCGAGCTTTTATATATTTACATACCAATTTAATATGCAATTACTAATGTGTTATAAATTAGGGGCGTTGCTCATTTGCTATTTTTAAGTTGAATTGACTAAATAGTAATTGATACTCCCTTCCCTTCTGATTGTAACAATGACATCTTTATTTCTAAGAAAATACTCAGCAACCCTAACGGATTTTTTGTAAAAAATGAAAATCTTTCTAATTATGGATGATTTTTCTCTTAAGTCCATTTTCTCAAAAAATGCTCATTTTCGGTGGCATGTGTTTAAATCATTATTTTCTCGATACATGGAAGTAAATAACCTTTTAATTCAACCCGATATTTCAGTCCCCCCCCCCCCCTCCTCCCCTCCCCAAGAAAACCCCCTGGGTCCGCCTTTGACGACTATTTGAGTGTATGTTATGTGTATGTTTAGTAAAGAAGCATCAGAGAGTAAAAGTTTGAACGAACTCCCTATTTATGGATACTTTATACCTTGATAAGCAAATTTCATTAGGGTTAACTCCTTATTTTCTTCGTGTTAGGGTTTCGTATACTCCTTTAATTAACCAGACTGGGTTTTTACGTTCGGGCCGCCCTTCTTGGACTTTTATATGCAATTCACTTTACTTTTACGAAGAAAGCCCATAAGGACGATATGGTCCATACCAGTTGTACGTAAAATTTAGCTGCCTTCAATCATAAGTAGCTACTTGTGAAAACCAAAAATGAAAGAGAGAATAAATGCTGGTAAGGAGAATGAATATATATGCAGTTGTAAAGATTAAATAGGAAAGCAACCTTAAAGGCTAAAAAGCACACACTTTATATGATTGCATCGATGCTCATACAATAAAAATTCTTAAATCTTAAAGTGTACAAAATTAAAAGTTTGGGGGTAGGGGGCGAAAGTGCGTTAACGAATACATAAATAATGAAAAAAAAATTTGCTTAAAAAGAATTTCTTGCGGGGGGGAGGGGGGCACCCCAGCCATATGCATACGCCCCTGATAGGCGGTGCTTCTACCAAGATTCCGGCGGGAGCTAAAAACTGATGTAAGCGAGACCATCACACCGACGAACAGATTTCCGATAATGTAATTCCAATTCGGTGCGTTCAATTTTCATCCTAAGTGAGACATATATATATATATATATATATATATATATATATATATATATATATATGTAAAAGTAATTAAATAATTGAATTTTATTTTTAGAGTTTAATATTTTTTGTCTTCCCGGAGAATTTATTCTTATGTGGGGGATTTTTGTTGGGCCCTTACTACACAATTATAGTCCAATAACTATACAAGGCCTCTGTTGAAAGCAATATAGATCAACTTGGAGAATTGGCCCATAATGAAATGGGCTATTTATTGGTACTAATTAGTAATATAAAAAATATATAGAAATAAGGGTAAATTACGGTGTCAAATTATGAAAATACCCCTCTTATTTGGGTAATTAAAACCACCATCTACTATGAATCTTATTACACGTTCATCGTTGTGCTGTTGAATTCAAATAAATGTACTAAATTATGTGAAATGTTCTTTAGTTTGTACTCGTTTTGTGCAAAAAAGATAGTTTCAGATGCACCGCAATTTGATATTTACAAGTCAAGAGACACATTTTACGATCATCTTATTTCAAAATGTGGAGCTCGAATGGGGTAAATGGCCGGGCACAAACTGAAAAAATTCCACATAATCTAGAAGATTCCACTAATTTTAACACCGCAAAAGTGAACGTGGAAGAAGATTCAGAGTTAAGAGGCCGAAAGTAGTTGTAGTTATCTAAACACGACAATTTTTTTCATAAGTTAATATTATCTCAAGAGGTGGCCGTAATTTACGCCGAAAAGTGAAACAATAAGCTACAAAACAAAATAAAAGCAAACCGCTGCCGTACTAGAAACAAAATAAATAAATAAATAAAGAGATGAAGCGTTACAAGTTTAGTGTGTGTGTGTGTATTTATATGCATACATATTACATATATGTATAATATATATATATATATATATATATATATATATATATATATATATATATATATATAGAGAGAGAGAGAGAGAGAGAGAGAGAGAGAGAGTGAGTTGGTGAGAGGTTATAAATTAGGTGAAAGAAGCCAAGCGAGGAAACTAACTTTAAGAACGTAAAATCTGCATGCATGTCTATTTCTTGTCTCTACGTGACACCTATTTTTATATCCCATGCCAAGTGTTCAATCTTCTGCCACTCCGACCTAATTAATTTAATTAATCATCTTTTTTATTTTTTAATTTATATATAAATAATAAATAAATGCTGCTGATTTCACAAGCACGAAATAGGAAATATATATTAATTATTGCACCGATTCATTAATAAATAAATATATATATAATATTAATAAATATTCCACGAGCATTAATACAAAGATCATATTAATTAATATAGGAGAACAATTGTCAAAAAACAGCAGTTAAAGCAACTGTGACCACTCAACCTTAAAATATCCAAGTAGTTGACTCTCTATTGTGCTTGTATAAATATATTATTATATATATATCTGTATGGATATATAATTATATATTCTCCAAGGGCAAAAACATCTGCATAATTTGATAATTAAATAAATGACTTTATCATAGTGGTATTGGCATTTTGATAATTATATATTTTTTAATAAATAATTAAAATAATTTTATTCACTAACATCTTCTTTCTTTCCTACATTTTCTAGTATACTAAGCCATATCTAATTAGTTTATACTCAAATTTCAATTTCAATTTTTTTTTCTAAATTTTCATCTTATTGCAATGAATTAAAGAATACTATATATATGAACTCATAATCTCAATTTTAGTAAAGGTGACTTCAATCCTTTTTTTTTTCTTCTCTTCATTAGTTATATCTCGCCTCTTATTCGATCTGCGTCGTATACGTCCAAATTAGTTCGTTAGTCGTTCATAAATACTTCGAAAATTGGTATTGGATTCACGACTTCCGACAACTTCTTATAAGTACGTAACTGACAGTTGGTCGTTAGTTCGTTGATCGTTAAAAGATTTTCTCGACTTTCAATGCTTTCGATAATTAAGTAACCCAAAATTGATAGTTGATCTAGCGGGAATAATTATGTATTTAATATGACGTATACTCAATGCCTATAAGTATTTCTTTTTATTAAACCAACGCCGTATACGTCCAAATTAATTCGTTAGTCGTTCTTAAATACTTAAAAAAAATGTATTCAATTTACGACTTTCGATAACTTTATTTAAGTAAGTAAACCAACAATTGATATCGTTAACAAAATCTCTCCGCGACTCTCTATAAGTAAACGAAATTTATAGTTGATCTAGCGGGAACAATTATGTATAACTTATAAATTCTAATTTCTTAATTTAAAATCTGATAATCCAACACTCTGAATTAGGGTGTAAGATAACTTAATTCTAGTAATCTAACCAGAATCCAATTTGGAATTCTGAATCCTGATAATCAAATGATGGAAATCCCAATCATCAGGAAGTCCAAATTAGCCACATTCACTCAATCCAAACGGGGGCAAAAACGTAATTCACTACTAATAAACACAAAACTAGAAACTTTAGTTAATGATAATCATCTCTAATTAATCACCCTCTTAATCCCATGATTAACACATCCACTCGTGCTATATAAACGCACAGCACAACTCACTTCTTTTAACATGCAAGTCAGTCACCCATCTATATACATACAACTCTATGTATCTATATATCTATATCCATAGAAACACATAGATATATACAGTGTGTAACTGAAATTAATTAATTAATTAATTTATCTGCAAAATTTCGAGGAAAAAAATGACTGGGCGGTGCAAGCATTGCAACACCGATGGCCACACCACCCGCGCTTGTTTGACGAAAAGCGACGGCGGCGGCGGCGGCGTGATGAGGAGGACGCGTGAGGCTGTTTGGCGTAAGGTCGACAGATGGGTCCTTCTTCAAGAAGAGCGCCAGCATGGGGAACCTCTCGCATTGCTCCGCCGTCGCCGCCGCGG